GGTCCCACTTGTCAATCTTCTCTCTTATGGCATGGGCACTTGGAGATTTTGTCAGGAATTGGTTGGCAGTTCCAATTTCCATAAGGGTGTCTCCTGCACTTTCTAAGGTTCTTATAGTTTGAGGTTTTATGTTTAGGTCTTTGATCCATTTAGAGTCGATTTTTGTGTATGGGGATAGGTGGGGTCTTGCTTTAATTTTCTGCATGTGGTCAGCCAGTTTTCCCAGAATCATTTACTGAATAGGTTCTCCTCTCCTGAGTAGTTGTTGGTGGAGGCTTTGTCAAAGATGTAAACTTCAGTCACCATCAAAGTACTCTTTGTTTGATGCAATGCACCTGTTGAGATACTGCTCGAAACAATTTTTGAACTTGTCAATTTTTATGCCTTTGAGTGCTTCTGTAGTTTTTTGTTTCACCTCTTCCACAAAGGCAAAATGTTTCCCTTTGAGGACTTTTTTCATCCAGTGAAACAAACGAAAAATGTTGCTGGGAATGAGATCGGGTGAATGGGGGCAAAGGGCATGGGGCCATGCTCTTTTTGGTCCAAAACTGCTGATCACTCAGAGTGGTGTGGGCAGGCATGTTGTCATGGTGGAAATACCAGTCATCTGTTTTTGCCACGAAAAAACTCATTGAAGTAGAACGCAGTCTCTTACAATGCTAGGGGGGTACCCAGATGCTGGTGGGTTCCTAGAACATTTACCTAGTGGGGGAAGCCTATACTACAAGGCGTCTACCCTACAAAAGAGAATACTGGGTTTGGGGTGTAAATACAGAGAAAAGTATTGACTTTTTCTGAGTCTCAATATTCTTAACTGCTAAATAGGAATATTTGCTAATGTCTACTTCACAGATATGAAATTGGAACTAAGAGAGTGACAATTAAAAAGTGCAAAGTATAGAACCGGACAGACAGAAGATAGGTGAATAAATGTCACTTTAATCTCTTACCCTGTAAGTGGATTAAACCACACACACACACACACACACACACACACACACACACCTCTTACACCACACCTATGAGTGCCATGAACTAGGCAAAGTTTGTTTTTAGTGCCTCAGATTTCCTCTCAAGTATCTTCATGCCTCTTCAGCTTCCAGTTCCGGGAAAAAGCCGAATTTAAATTATTATTAGTCTATCAATTGTTCACTACCTCCATTGCTATTCATTCTTGTTCTAAATATTTATAATTATTGATAAACATAAATCCTACTAATCTCTTAGTAATCTTTTCTGAAATTATAATGTTTCTCCTTTTACTTGTTTTATTTTCACTGATATATTCTATATTGGTTAAAATACATTAGATTATACTGTGATAATAAACTCATTCCAAAGACCACAAAGTTTACTTCTCACTCATTGAATCTGTACAATGCAAGTGAGAATAAAAGTCTGTCTCTCTTTGGTCACTTCAGGATCTATGTTTCTTTTTCTTTTTTTTTGAGTTGGAGTCTCACTCTGTCACACAGACTGGAGTACAGTGGCCGGGCCTTGACTTGCTGGGCGCCGGCGATCCTTCCGCCTCAGCCTTCCAAATAGCTGGAACTACAGGCGCGCACTACCACGTCTGGCTAATTTTTTATTTGTTATAGAGTTGAAGTCTCGCCAAGTTGCCCAGGTGGATCTTGAACCCGCGGGCACAGGCAATCCACTTACCTCGGCCTCCCAAAGTGCTGGAATTACAGGCTGAGCCACTGAGCCCAGCCAGGATCTATGTTTCTACAATTTCCAAGTCAGAAAAAGGGAAAAGCACTTACTCTTACAGCTTTCACTCAAAAGTGGCATATATCACATTCACACACACTCAATGACAAATAAGACCTATGCAGGACTTCAACTTCAGAGAAGGTAAAAAGGTGCATTCCTACTGTGGTTTTCAAAACTGGAGGACCAGACATCTTTGCTGAGTGCCATTGACACTACTCACAAGAACACTCTTGTGAGTCATTTTGATGACAGGATTTTAGAGATGCTCTAAGTGGCTCTTATGCTTTTTAATGTAAATCTGTTTCACTCAGGGCCCTTTATTTTGATACCTCTAATCGGTCATTCTCATCTAAACTGCCAGATTAAAATGAAGTATTTCAAAACTTTATACTAGTTTATTCTACAGAGAAAGGTCTTTGTGCATTTCTGAGAAATAAATGGGTCTATTAAAATTTTCTCAAATGTTAAGGCTCTTTAAGGTAAGAGATAAGGAGTTATCCCATGATAAGATAAGGAGTTATCCCATGATGGCTGGTCTCAGGATCTCACTTACTCCAATGCAATCTTACTCAGGTGGAATGGCCTTTTTTCTTTTTTTAGTTACATTTGTAATGAGCAGGATTTTTTTTTTTCTCATTATAGACTCTTTTGGTCATTTCAATGGGAATTTGCCAAGAAAAGGGAAGTTAAATCAGTTTGCTTTAAACATATCTTGTACTATAAGTTTTTCCTAAATTACTGATTTGGGATATTAGGTAAACCATTAACCCAGCTAACCAAATCACAACCAGGGAGACATGTACACTTTTCCTCCCAACTGATCAACAAACCTTGCCAATTTTGTCTCCTAAAAATCTCTCAAAAGAACAGAGGTCTTGAAGAAAGAATTAATATCAAACTTAATTTAGAAATATTTGGCATCCCTAGGGAAAAATTTATATCTAACATTAAATAAACAAAATCTTGATAGCTAACAAAATTGCAGTCAAAAGAAAACCGTTAACCTTTCTTGTTCCCTTCTGTAAACAAAGCTTGAATGTTCTTGACTAATGAGGAAACAGACTGGTGTTCAGTCAGAACAATAAGCACTCCAGAAATACCTGAATTGGACAGAGCCAAAAAACAGAAAGGCTACGTCAAAACATTCATGGAGACAGTCACCAAGTTGGAGAAGAGATAGGCTGCTATGGTCATACTTGCAACCAAAGTAGGAGGGCACTGACTGACTATAACTTAATGAGGAATGCAGAAAAGAAGAAAGTTAGAAAGGAGGCACTGAAAATAAATTCTAGAGATTTCCACATGGCTAATGTGTAACAAAAACTTTCCACTGGCTTCTTGCACTAAGAAAAATGCATAAATGATATACTTAACAAGGACATTTTTTGTAATATACTTATAATGGATTTCCATTGGTAGACCTTGAATTCCAGATATTGATGTCAATGTAGAAGAATGCCTTGTTGATATAAAAGTGCCTATTATTATCAAAATGAATTAGCCTATAGAAATCTGTGCTTTCCCATCCTTGCAAATGGCTTATTGTGATAAAAGCATAGTGTTTTATTCATGAAGTACAAAAAGTCTTGTTCCCTGTAACAGCACCTAACCTTGTCACGCAAATTAAAAATTTGCATTGAAGGTTTTTGTGGATTAGCTATGGTTTATTTTAAACCAATAGTCAATAGAGTACTGATTTCTATTTGTAAGAGTCAATTTCCTTGGGTTCATCACAAAACAAGTGTTTTAAGAATGCTAAACATTAAGGTAGAATGAGGGCATTCAACTAAAACCTCACAGCATATGTTTTCTTCTCCACCAGGCTTTAGATTTCTCATGTAAACTTTATAAAAAGCCAAGTAGGAAAGCACTAAGATACAGTTCTAATAAACATCTCAAATAACAAACCTAAAGTAATCTACAAAATGTGCTTTAAATATTGGTTCTTGGGGGACAAGAACAGGTAGGGGTATATGGTTTTAAAAGGACAATGGAAGGATCCTTGTGATGGTGGGATTTGCACTGTATTTTGACTGTGGTAATAATGGGTAAACAAATCTACATGTGACAACACTGCATAGACCTAAATACACACACGCACACACACACACAAACCTACATATGACAAAACTGCATAGGCCTAAATACACACGTGTGTATGCGAGTGCACACACACACACAGTAAATCTGGGGAACCCAATAAGGCCAGTGGATTGTATCAATGTCAATATCCTGGTTGTGAGAATGTACTGCAATTGTGTAAGACATTACAGTTGAGGAAACTAGCTAAGTGGTATAGGGGATCCCTGTGTATTATTTCTTACAACTACATATAAATTTATAATGATCTCAAAATAAAAGTTTAAAAAGACAGTTCTATCTTTCTCAAAAATCCTCATCTTGAAACTATGCAAATGTGAACCAACTCCTGTGTTATTTTTCTCCCCTTGTAAGAGTAAACTACATAATTGCAAATCTCTCCCTAGAAGCTAAAACGGAAACCACAGTATGGATGCCACTTAATGGGGATTTCGTGGAGTGAAATTCAGGTAAGAATATGGGAGAAGGGGTATACCTATTGCTAACAGAACAAATAATGCTTTTTAAACAATCATATAAATAACTTGATTAAAAATTGTTTCTTAACAAGGTCCTCCCTTACCCTAAAGCACCACTTATTGATTCTCTTTTCATATATACAACAAAAATTGTTGATTTGCTTTTTAATTTTTGTTATCATCATAATTAGCCTTTGTAATAACCCTTCTGAAAATAGAAGCACTAAAGGTCTAAAAAGGATGTTTCAAGACAAAGCAATATGCTGATTACAGGGCCATTTTGAGAATTTCATAAGCCTTAAGTGTATTTGTATTTGATAAACCTCTCCATGATCAAACATCAAAATGTATTCACATGCCACAATTAATATAATTAACAGAAAAAACACAAATATTGAGATGTAGTTGGCTAATTGAAATAATGTTTTGTTTTGGAGACGTCTAATTAGACAGTTATTAAATTTAATTTTACAGCTTTTCTTTGGTATTTTATGAAGGGAAGGGAAAGGAGGTTTTGGTAATTTTCAAAGCCCTGAAAGTTCATATGCCTTATACAGTATGCACATAGACTATAATGAATAAAACATTTTACATTTTTTTGTGTGTTTAAGCAGCATGATTCACATTAAGAGAGTAGAGTAAGATGGTACAACAGGGAAATTTATAATAATTAATTGTATTCTCAAAGCCAGGGCATTGGCCTTTTAAGGTATGGTAGCAAAAACTAACCTCAGCATATGGGCAGCATTGAAAACAACATCAAACTCTGTGTTGTCTAGTTCAGCTGCTTTTTTCGCCATCTCGGCTGCTTCTGTGAGGCGAGATTCTTCCAGAAGAAACTGACCTGCAAAGTCCAAAGAGCCAGTGAGCTTCAACTCAATTCAATATTAATCCAAGAAAACTATAAAGCTACTATTAGAGAAAATAAGTACAATGATAAAGGTGATTTGAGGTTAAGATTTAATAATACATTCATTATTTAGAGAATTTTTTTTTTTTTTTGAGTCAAGGTTTTATTCTGTTGCCAAAGGCTGGAGTACAGTGGCATGATCCTGGCTAACTGCAACTCCTGGCTTCAGTTTTTTTGGGGGGTGGCGGGGGAGGCTTTAAGTTTTTTTTTCTTTTCTTTTTTTTTTACTTTTTTCTTTTTTTAAAGAGGTGGTCTCACTATGTTGCCCAGGCTGGTCTCAAACTCCTGGGCTCAAGCGATCCTCCTGCCTTGGCCTCCCAAAGTGCTGGGATTACAGGCATGAGCCACGATGCCCAGTCTATTTAGAGAATGTTACATGCTTTTCTCTTAATTGCAGTACATTGTAAGGCTTCTATTTGGTATATTAAGAAGATTTTTCTTCTTAAAAAGGAATTCTCTGAGGACTATTCAAGCAAGAAATAAGATGAACACAAAGCTATATTACAAATATGAGTGAAGTTGATTTTAATTGTTAGTACTTCAAAACAGCTCCTGTCTGATGCATATGCACAAACCTGTATATTCATATAGAGATATACTCATTTCTTATATCCAAGAAATGCTAAAAGTATTGAGAAAACATAGGAAGATAGGTTTAGCATTAATTCACTCAAGTATATTTTATAATAATTCTGGAATAAAAATGAACAAGTTTACATTTTTGAGATTACTTTCAGGTTAGCTTTTCCAGGTGAGAATTACTATAGATAGTATAACATAATTCTTAAAATTGCACCTCAAGAATTGTTATATAATGCTAGAAATATATTGTGAAGGTAAAGAAAATTAAAGTTAGACCTAATTTTAACTCCATAAATACACAGAGACAATAGGCTTCTTTTTTTTTATAGCTATAGATTTATTAACAGCAAACGGATGTTAAACCTTATCTGATATGGATATTCAAATAAAAACCAAATCAAAGTATGTCAAAGATATACTAACATCATCCAAGAAACTGCCATGCTTATCAAGTTGTGGCCTAATTATTATCTCTTCCTGTTTGAGGTTTCCTGTTTGCTTAAAGAATTTAGCAATACTAAAAAAAGTTATAAAAATAATTAGGAGGTCCTGAGCTATACACAGAAACAGAAAAACTTTAAAAATGGTAAATGCTCTCTGGTGGTTTGGAAGAGCCTAGTCTTTACTGTTTATCTAATAAATATTGTGAAGTGTCTTCTAACCTGTAAGACCAGTGCCTAAAATAAAAGGGAAAAAATTATTTGTTTTAAGGATTTAAATTAAACCAAAGTAACTTTTCGCATTTAAGTATTTCTCAGTGTCGACTGGCAATAAATGGTGAGTAAAGAGAAGCCAAGGATTATAAAGTCTTTTTAAAACCAACTGACAAAGTGCTAAGACCAGGACTTGGAGATGCATTGCTATTTCCACAAAACATTCACATCACTTTCTTAGTTTGCCATTTAACATTCTGTGCCTTTCTTATTTTCCAGAAAAAAAAATATGAACACAATCTTTAGGTCAGAAAATCAAGGGAGTAAGAAAACAGAAATGTAAGAATTTTACATTTATAAATAAAAATGTATTTTTCTTTTCATACTTATGAAAAGTCCTATATATTTTCATACCGATGAAATGTCCTGTATATTTTCATACCTATGAAAATTCCTGTATATGCTAACTCTACAGATATGTAGATATGAGATGAAATTTAGGCCGGGCTAGGTGGCTCAGTCAGTAATCCCAGCACTTTGGGAGGCCGAGGCGAGCGGATTACCTGAGCCCACGGATTCGACACTCGCCAGGGCAACTTGGCAAGACCTCACCTCTACAATAAATCAAAAACTAGCCAGGCATGGTAGCGAATGACTGTAGTTCCAGCTACTTGGAAGGCTGAGGTGGACGGATCGCTGGAGCCCAGCAGGTCAAGGCTGTAGTGGCAGGGAGCGTGCCACTGTACTCCAGTCTGGGTGACAGAGTGAGACTCCAACTCAAAAAAAAAAAAAAAAAAAAGAAATTTAAAAAACATGTTGCTTTAAAAAAAAAAGTAAAAAAGAAATTAGACCATCTGTGCCATACTAAAATATTAGTATCTCCTCATATGTATCCTCATAAAGGATACCAGACTAATACCATTATTCAGTTAGTTATTCAGTTAGTTATGCTTATTATTGATTGTTTTTAAAAGTAAAATGCATGGGATTGACAGTAGTCAAAATCTGCCTGGGGGGGTACACCTTATCAACAAGGGTACCTGCACAGTGAATATTTGTATACCTAACCCTGAATTTTACCCCACAATTAAAAAAGAAAAAAGTAAAATGCAATATTGTTACCTGTCTTCAAAACATAATTTTTAACTAAGTACATACATTAATAAATACATTATTTATGTGGTATTTAAACAAATAATAATGTAGGAAATTGTTAATTGTTATTTTCTTTTCCAGGCAGCTACTAGCTCTAAAATGTAATCCATATTAATATTTAGAAAAATGCAACAATTTATTGAATAATGAAGATTGTTTTCTCAAAATTTGTTATTCCAGACTATAGAGAGAAAAGAAGATATATTAGCTCCAGTTAAAAAGAAATAAGAAAAGAACATGATACCTATGGTGCCCACATAGAAATAGAACGGGACACTGATAAATCATCTACATGATGACAAAAATGATAGTCAATAACAAGGCATCTGTTTATAAGAAATGTCCAGGGCAAAGCCTTCCAAGCTTTGTCAAAGCCAAAAGCCTCTGTAATGTTCAACAAGAAGCAAGGAAATAACATTAATTGTGTAAAGTCAAGTTTAAGAGTTTTATCATAATTTAGTAGCATTTCTTTATGCTTTTAAGTTAGCTTTGCTAAGCAATGTGTACTTCGTAAACAGTTTCCAAAAGCTATACACAACACATAATTTTTCACAGTGTAAATGGTGACCAAAAAAACTCCCATGTGATCATTTTATAACAGCAAAATTCATTCATCATATTAATATTCAGAAAAACAATAACACAAGATATTAGTTAGGTATTTGCATAATTTCTCTCATTCTGTTCTGGACAGGCTACATATCTCAATAGTCCAGGGCAGAATTGTTCTGCTATGATAAAGACATAAAATATTATGGAGTTTGAGTCATTTTGTTGACTTTTTTTAGTTGAATTTGAATATTTCAACCAAAACTGAACATAAATTATTATTCTGCTATGTTATACAATGTGTGTTTGAAAAATAACCCAGAGTTGATGGAAAATAGAACAATAAACATTTCAAATACACAGAACACAAACAGGGACACAAAGAATTATAAGTTTCTTCTTAATAACTACTCAAGGAATCTAAATTGATATGTTATTGGGAAAATAATAAGGAAGAAAATTTGCCCTTATCCCTTCTGGACAACATTACCTTAACTCTCTCCTTTCCCACCAGCTTTATCTATTATTGCTTCCACCAGACTCTAGTCTCTTCAAAATAATTATGTTTTCTGTAGTGTAACCTACTACTTCACATCTTTGTCTGGAACTATTCAGCCTCTAAGCCTTTTTGGTCTCTAAGATTATCCCATCCTAATCACCAGTTCTGTCTTGCCTGCATGTTATAAAAAAGTCATCTTTTATTTTTATGACCTAAAACATTTCCTTCTTAGTGAAGCCTTCTTAGACCAATTTCCTATCATGTTAGAATTGCTTATGATTGGGCTAGGCACAGTGGATGCTGCCTGTAATCCCAGTACTTTGGGAGGCTGAGGCGGGAGGATCACTTGACCACAGGAGTTTGAGACCAACATGGGCAACATAGAGAAACCTTGTCTTTATATTTAAAAAAAAAAAACTGCGTATGATTTCAGTTTACAATATACAATTTACCAACTAAACTAGAACACTTAGAAGAGCAAAAGGAATTTTGTACTTGTTTGTTGGAGTTAAGGTCTCACCCTGTACCCCAGGCTGGAGTATAGTGGCACAATCTCGGCTTACCACAGCATCAACTTTCTGGGGTCAAGTGATCTCAGCCTCCCGAATAGCTGGGATTACAGATGTGCAACACCATGCCTGACTAATTTTTTAAAAAGTTGAGGAATGAGGTCTTACTATATTGCCCAGGCTGGTCTTGAACTCCTGGGATCAAGCATTTATTCTGCCTAGGCTTCCCAAAGTGCTGGGATTACAGGAGTGAGTCAATGCTCCCAGTCAGGAAATATCAATTATGCTAAAGCAAAAGCGTAAAGCAGAAATTACCAATATGGACACCCCACATGTGGCAGGATGTGGATCTGAGTTCTCTAATCTTCATTATTGGGAAGTAAACCATTTGCACAATAAGGTATAGAATCACTGCTAGCAGAATTGATTGATACAGCAAGAGGACATAGGTGCTCTTCACAGAAGAACTGCTGTTGAGACCACCAAGACTGAGAAAGATGCCAAGGTTCAATGAGTAGAACAGTTAATGAGGTTCAGACAGTGCAGGTATACAAGAGAGAGCCAGGACTAAAAGAAAGATGGAAAACTTTTCAGGAAAGGCAGGTACTTCAAGGAGTCCATCTACATTGGTGGGTTCTGCAAAGCCTGAAAGGTTACCTTTTTCTCGGGGTCTCTAACTTTAGTGCATGTCTGAATCACCTGGAGGACTTGAACTAAAATTCCATTCCCAGAGTTTCAGATGGCAGGTGAGCCTGGGACAGCGCCTGAGATTTGCATATTTAACAAGTTCTGAGGTGATACTGATAGTGATAGTTCAAAGTCTTTATTTCAAGAATCAGTGCCTTGTAGGAAAAACAATTTTTTAAAACCATTTTCTGGACTCTAACTATATGTGGGATTAGAGTACACCTGACATGCCCTTTCCTATATTATGGGGCATGAATAACTAGGTTATACATATGTGTGTAGGTAGAAAGTTACATGTAT